GGTTAAAAACTAGTTGCAAAGTAATGCACTGGGCGACTATTGCCACCGCCAATGACATCGCCGTGTAAAACTGGGCAGTTGAATGCATTGCTTGGGTACTAGTACTGTCGGCAAAAGGTCTAGTTCTACGCTAGTTTTGAGCTAGTCAGATTTTCTGCTGGGTATGTACATATGTATATTGGTAATGACACAAAATACATATGTAACGTAAGTTTCACTTCTCCAGTGTGGCCCAGGCGCACCTACTTTTTTATTTCTTACACTTCTGTTTCAACACTTTTTTGGGGAACCTCGAGACCCATGCGACTAATGTGAGATTATGTTTATGCGTCTAATTGCACATCGTCGATGTTTTTGCAAAACCGCCCATCGGCCAGTCGCAGAACCGCCTAAATCGCCGTTGTGGCAAAAATGAGATGCACTCGTAAAATCGTTATTAAAACAACAGATTTGGAAAATAATAGCTAGAGAAAATACCGCCCATCAAGGCAATGCCTTCAAAGAAAAAACCGCTCTCCTGTAACATTTGAGTGCCGTAAGATAGGCGGTTTTGCAATTGGGCGATGTGCGGTTTTGCAAAAACATCAACGATTTGAGGATATGGACAATTTAAATTCAGTTTTTTTTTAATATATACCTAATTATGTGTGTACACAATATCAATTTTTGTATGTACATACATACATGCATATGTGTGGATGTATATTAGGGCGGGTCGATTTTTTCCCATAAAATCGCATAGGCTGAAAATATTATACGTATCATTAAAAACAACTTTGCTTAAGAAACTATGGGTCTAAAACCAGTTTCGAGCCAGCGAATTTTAAGGTGAAGTTTCATATCAGATAATAGAAAATTTTGTGGGAAAAACTCAAACAAATAGCTGATTTATGTATGAATGTATGCGTACAAGCAGTTCATTTTTTAAAATACTTATATAACTAAGTTTTTAAGTCCTGCTTGCTTTCCAAGCGTTGTAATTTTTTTCGACTAACATCAGTTCCAGCCATAAAATTTTCACGACATTTTTCCGCTACGCGCTGAGAAACACTGGTTAGCAGTTGAACGTATCGTTCAGTTTCTTGTATGTGGCATGGAACTTGTGGGTCAGGAAATGATGGGTCTTCAAATTCTAAATATTCTTTCAAATGGTTATGCGGAATGTAGTAATTGGCGGTTCTGTTAAAATATTGTAATCTTCCAAATCTATCATAATGAAATAATTAGAGCAGTCAAAATTGTTTTTTTCATTCCTTGTACTCTCTAAGTTCTTTTATATCGCAAAGGTTGTCGCGGTAGTACACAATTTTTTTATTGCCTGGTCGCGTACTGATTTATGATCATCGTAAAGCATTGATATCATGACATTTGCTGGATGGGTATAATATAAGTTATTTCTGCAGCTCCTTGGAGGGAAGAAATGCGAGAGGCGGATAAATTTGAATGGAAGCGGACTGCCGTATATAACATAATGGTAGTATTTCATGTTAAAGTCCATCTGCCCATAAACTCTTACTAAGTATTCTTCTAGAATTTTTAAATTACAAGGCGGTGAATTTGTTGCAACGTACAATCGTAAAATTCTACCGGATTTGGTTAGCTAACGGGAGTGCGCTACAGGTCCAAATTTTGTGTTAGCTATTTGTTTTTTGTCGGAACCACGCAGGGCGTAATTTTAGTCTGATTTCAATCATTTTCAATGTTTTGCTTTTATGTAGCAGGCACAATTATAGTACCGAGTTTGGTACAAATTGATCGAACGGTTACCGAGATTCACATATGTGGTCATAAGTGGGCGGTGCCACGCCCATTTTCAAAATTTTCTCATAAACGTATTTTTTGCTAAAGAGTTATTGCAAGTATCAATTTTGAATAAATTAGCTTTGCTATTTACTGATTTATCGAAGATTTCGTATTTCTCTAAATAACCGGTAATGGTATGTGGGTGTGGTTATGATCCGATTTTAAAAATTTTCAGTCGTTTGGTATACTCTACCAAGGACAACAACTGTGCCAAGTATGGGAGAAATTGGTGATGAGGTTACTAAGATATACAAATGTAATCACAAGTAGGCGTGGCTACGCCCATTTTCCAAAAATTTATAATATTATTATTCGTCATCTAAAAATCATTTAAATACTAATTTTGAGTTAATAAGCTTCAGTAGTTACTATTTAAAATATCGCAGTTTTCGTATTTCTGAAAACTGCTGTTATATGGGAGGTAGGCGTGGCTGTTGTCCAATTTTTCCTATTTTCAATACCATCCGTCGTCCTACGCTAAAAAGAAGTACACATACCAAATTTCGTTAAAATATCTCAATTTTTAATCAAGTTATCGTGTGCACAGACGGACAGACAGTCACCGCTTAACCGCTTTTTTTTCAATTCTGATCATTTATGTATTAAAAAAAAATAAACTAAGTTTTGTACCTCTACACTAATAGATTAGCTATTTGTTTAAGTTTTTCCTACACAATTTTGTATTGCCTGATATGAAACTTTCCCCTAAAATTCGCTGGCTCGACATTGGTTTTAGACCCATAGTTTCTTAAGCAAAGTTGCTCAGAATGATCCGTAGAGCATTTTCCGCATATGCGATATTTCCGTTTTTCTGATCCCCCTACAAATCGACCCGCTCTAATGTATATATGTGTATTCATATTTGAACTCATAAATCGCTAGCTAAGAGTGAAAAGTTGCAGCTAAGTCAACTTTTTCTAAAAAAATATATTTTGATGCAAGAAGCAAGAGCGTCGTTTTCTAAAAGATCGAACTGCCTAAGTATTTTAGTTTTAACTATTTCTATGCAGTTATGCGAAAATTTGCTAAGTCCAAAATATTTACAGTAAATGTGACAAGCCCCAAAATATTCAAAAACTGTACTGGAAAACTGTGGAACTGGATTTGTTTGGAGTACGAAAAACTGGCACTCAAATTTTTGCAAAACAAGTGCGTGAGGAATATGGGTTTGAAAGGTTTTTATTATCTCCTGCAAAATTAAAAAAAAACTGGACTAAGCAACTTTATGCTCTAAGCTCGCAAAATATATACATATATACTAATATTAACCTATAGTTGATAAGTTCTTTTTCTGAAGCCGATTTTAAGATAAGAGATAGAAAATAAGAAAGGTATTAATATACATAGATTAGATCAAAAAAACAAATAAGGTGATATATGCAAATAAATATATAATAAACGACACATGAGCAAATGTAATTGTGAAAATAGGAATCAAAAAACATTACACTTGGAAGGAAAATACCATGTTTTGAAATTACACAAAAAACGCCGAAGCACTTGAACCTTAAGATTGGGTCGTAGATTACGGATCTGTATACTAGTTTTCCAGATCAGGCCGTTTTTCCACGATATTTTCATTTTTATGAAAAATATAATCAATTTTTAAATTTTTTTAAATTAAAAAAATAAATCTTTTGTAATTTTTTTTTATTTGTATTAAACCCTGTTTTTTTGCCAAAAAATCAAGGTACTAGCGATGAAAATCGATGGATAAATATACAAGTTTTGCATGGTTAAATGAAAATTGCAAACATACTAGTTCATAAAATAGTATGTGCCTACCAGTTCGACATTTTCTAAGAACTTAAGCGTTCAGCGACATCTGCCTTTGAATTGCCAAAGCCTAAAATAAAACGCAATTAATTGCTTTTCTTTCGGCTGTGGCGTCACGTGAAGACTACTGGTACTGGGATCGCAGGTTCGAGGCCGCTTGGAGGTGGTTAAGATTTTTAAAGTTAGATCAATGTAAGTAGGAATAATTATTTCAATTTAAATATAAATCACAAACTTAAAAATCTAGTTGCATTACAAAAAAAAAAGAAACAAATATATGGTAAGAAATACTTGTGCCATAACAAAAAAACCCTTAATAAAAAATATGAATAAAAGAAATATTATAAAAAAATATAATAAAATAAAAAAATTGTCCCTACGCCAGGGCTTGAACCTGGTACCTCAAGCATACCACGCGAGTGCTTTGCTCTGTCGGCCATTGCGACTGTTGGTCTACTAGTAGATGCTGATGCATAGCCTGACAATTGACATCTCGTAGGACAATGCAATGTTAAAAATACCAGTCGCTAACATTGAAAAAGGATAGAACGTGAACTTGGGCTGAAACGCAAGCTGGTAGAATTCTAGATCACAACTAGTAGCTTTCCCTGCAGGGATCGTACAGCAGCGCACTCATACATACTCGTACATGGCTATAAATAACATTTTCCATGTAACAGTTTGAATTTTTATTCATTCGCAAATCAAACATAAAATGAAAATACCTCTGGAAAAACACCTGATCTAGAAATACGGTATACGGATCCATAATCTACGACCCAAAATTAAGTTTACATGCTTCGGCGTTTTTTTTTTACTCATTTTAGCGTGATGTTTTAGAAATTATGTAGATAATATGGATTTAAAGAAATGGTATGTACATATGAATCAAGCCTACATATTGTTACCTCAATACATACATACATATAGGAAGGCACTCACTCATTTCGTTTCGAAATTTAGCTTTGTAAAAATGTCAGTAGATTGCTCAGTAACGACATCATAGAATTCAAAAGCAACTACTATATCAATAAATCATTTGCAGTTTTTATTAAAACCAGTATTTTCAAGAAGTTCGCAACTACAAAACTTTAATTTTTACAAAGTTGCATAATTGCGCTGTAAAGAAAAAAATGCTATATAGGGCCTTTCTATATTAACTTAACGATATGTATAATTAAGGCAACCGTACTGACATGTTTCATATTTTGAAATATAAAATCGTATCTTTGTTAACTGATTGTATGACATTGTTAGCCGGTAAGCAAATCGCTTGCTGATACATTAGCAATGTGTGCACAATTACAATTAGTATTCACAAAAACAATCATACTTATACATAAAAATACATGTATTATTCACATATATAGTACATAGGTATCTGTCTATAATTGCAGAGAAATGTGAACTTTGAAGCTTACCTGTAGGCTTGTGTAGCTGCTATATTTCCGTTTCGTAAACGGAAAGCCACTTTGATGTTCATTCACGTGTCGGTGACGCAACAGTAGTGAGCGCATAAGCGCTGGCTTGTCTTCGGCATTAATTAGCTCGTCGACAACCATCTGTACAAGTGAAAACAAAAATATATAAAAATAAAATCGTTGATAGAAAAGGTGTACATAGAAAAATGCAAAATAAGCAAATAATGAAAATCAGGCAGTCAGTTGTTTGGCTTGCTCACCTGTTCGACAACGCGATAAGCCACGGCAGGCAGATCCTTCTCATTCAAATCGAGTAGCACTACGCCCGTTTCGAGACAGCGACGCAAATTGAGCAACGAATGGAAGGAGAGTGAAGCAACATGCGGTTTGCCCCAACGATCGGAGCCTTCCTCAACATCCTCTTCATACTTGATCCAACGCGCGGTTTCTTTCCATTCACGATCCTCGCCAATGCCGGTGAGTTCATCGAGTTGTACGAAAATCTGGGGAGAATTTTATGTGATGCATGTAATAAATGGTATAAAACCCTAGTTGCAAAGTTAATTGCTTTCATATGCTCCTATGTAATTACCTCATGCGGACTATGATCGTAGACCTTCTTCAGCTGCAAGCCCGCCACACTAATCTGTGGCAGCTCGCGTAATTTGATTGAGGAATGATGGATTTTGTGACGCCTAAGCGCACGTGGATCATCGGAACGATGAGATCTCAATTCATTGAGATCAGCCTCCTGTTTAATTAATGTGAAAATTAAATGTTTAATTAGAGAATTAAAATACTGAAACAACTTAAAGCGAGGTGAAACAACCTGTTCAACTGGCTGTTGTGCCTAAATTTGCAGTTTACATTTTTTGGTAAGCATACATTTTTTTTTTTTTTATAATTTTTATGTATAGAAAGAGGGTGAGAGAAAAGCACATATATAAAGCAATTTATGAGTGATACTTTTCTACAAATATGTTCGTAGAACTTCTTTTTAATACATTTCTACTAAATAATGATAATACCATAATTTCGACCTTATTCTAATATCGGATAAAGATATTTATTTTTTCTGAGTCCAGAATTTGTCATAAGCATAATAGCCAAATTGCCCAGCAAAATCAGCATCGCCCAGGAACGTAATTACGTTCATTATTCCGACGCAAGGAGAATCAAACTTGAATTGATAATGACTGTGGAACTCTTGGAAAATTGATGCCTGATGAGTTAGCTATGTTTGGGCTTTAGCGCATTTAATAGAACGAGGGATTTTTATGAGTCCGAGTTTAGGCTGATTTGAAAGCCTTGGAATTTTTGGAGCAATCTGGTTATCAAAAGGACCCCAAAGTGTTACTTTAAAAATACCAAACAATGGATATCGCATTCCCTTCAAGCTGAGATGAGGGAGTTGAGACCTCTATAATATGTTTCCCTTCTCTATAAGAATGTAAGTAGAATCAAATGTAAAGAACATTTTTGCTTTCAACAGTTTTAGACTTGTTTTTTGGAAAAATTTTTAAAAAGTAAGCGGTAGAAATTATCACTGCTAATTCGGTCTGAAACCCACCGACCTTAGTCACATATCGAGGGCTTATATTCAATACGCTATATCTGCACTTTTCACAAAAATGAGATACGGATATAAAAATCCACTTAAACCTTAACTGTCACCGGTGATATTAATGCTGACCTTGTTTAACGCTTGTCAGAAGAAGTTACTATTAAATTGCAAAGTCAGAATTAACATCAGTACTAGGGATGTTAATCCCGGGATCCCGGGATGCCGGCCTTTTTTAAGTGATGAAAATCCCGGGATTATTTACGACGAATCCCGGGATTTTCGGGATTGGTCATTTGCATTGGTGGCAATAATAGAAATAATGCCTTAGGTTGACCAGTTTTTACTATACTTCTTTTGTTTATTTAATATTTAATATTTTTTTATAAATGTCTAGCTAATTATACATACACATAACACAGCGTAACATAACACGTTACGCACAATAAATCAATATATTCGCGAAAACATGGGCCAAATACATGCAGTAAAATTGCGTTTTTATTTTTCCTCCGACTTCAAGATTTTTAAAAAGGGCTTTGAAAATAGAATAATATTTAAATTGCACTGACTTTTTTAAATAATTTTTAGAATTTATCACATCTTTGAAATTATAAAGTTCTAATAAAAAAATTCTAAAACTAAAAACGCAGTTTTATTATATTTGGCTTATAGTGTCGTGACACTTTTATAAAAAATATTAAATAAACAAAAGAAATGTAGACTAAACTGGTTGAAATAAGGCGTTTCTTTTATTTTTGCTACTAGTATAATGAACTCCTTTCAGCCACCCAATACATATGTTGACTTAAGTTCATTTTGCATCGAACTTTTTTCGACATGCCTTAAGTTACTTTATCAGATATATACTCGCGAAAGTATTGTTAAATGCGTATAAATTAAATTACTGTCTATTATTTTGTTATTAATGAAATATTTTTCAACTTAAATAATAAAGTAGGTTTCAAACCCATTTATTTAGTATTTATTGGATATGGAAGGCAGCTTCTCAAACTATATTGATGCTATTTTTTCATGTTAATTTGTTGGAAAATAATGAATATCTAAATCCCGGGACTAATCCCTGGATCCCGAGGTAGTGCGAACAATGTCTCGAAAATGCCGGAATCGAAAAAATTAACATCCCTAAGCAGTGCTGACGGGTAAGTCCCAGATAGGTTCTAACATCACAGAGTAGATTGGTGAAAATTGCAGATAGAAGGTGTTGAATATAAGCCTTCGATATGCAAGTATTTACAAAAAACATTTTTCGACCACGTTGCTTTTTTTGGTAATTTTTTACATAATTTTATTGTTTTTTTTCGAATTTGGTAACATGGAATTTAGTCTTCTGTTTGGTAACTTCTTGGAATCAAGGGCCCTGATTAAAAAATCCACTTGACCCATGATATTGAATAGTGAAACTTGGGAGAATTTCTGGAATTCTTGGGAGCCTTCAAGCGTTAATCTTTTGAGAAAAATTTCAACCAGTTTTTGGTATTTATTGGACGCTATCTCATTTAAGGTTTATACGCCTATTTTAAAAGTTCGGCACGAATGATCTCGATCGTTAAATCACATTATCTCGATATGTGCATTAGGGTGGTAAAAAAGGTAAAGTTGAAATTTTAATGCTATCTCCCACTGAATTCTTCTATACCGGAAAAATATACACCTCTTTTCATTATGAAATCAAAAAATATTTAGAGGACGCTCAATGTCCTTAAAGTTTTCCATGTACTATTTTATATGAAACAAGTAGAAAAGTCTAAGTTCGGGCGGAGCCGAACATTAAATACCCGGAGCATGTATTAAACATGTATATGTTTTTCACCTTTCCGAAAGCTACCGCTACATGGTAAGCCGGGGTGTATTAATTTTGAGTAAATTAGCGTCCTTAAATTTCGAAATATTGCAGTTTCAAGCATTTCCGAAATTTACCGTTATATGAAAAGCGGCCGTAATTTTAGTCCGATTTCAATAATTTTCAATCTATTGCTTTTATGTGGCAAGCACAATAACCATACCGAGTTTGGTACAAATTGGTAGAACGGTTACCGAGATACATATATGTGATCATAAGTGGGCGGTGCCACGCCCATTTTCCCAAAATTTTATCATAAACGTATTTCTTGGTAAATAAGTGTTGCAAGCATCAATTTTGAATAAATTAGCTTTAATATTTACTGATTTATCGAAGATTTCGTATTTCCCCAAATTACCGTTATATGGGATGTGGACGTGGTTATTGTCCGATTTTAAAAAATTTCGGGCATTTGGTATGATGTAGCAAGGCTAATAGCTGTGCCAAGTTTGGAAAAAATTGGTGCAGCGGTTACCAAGATATACACATATAACCATAAGTAGGCGTGGCTACGCCCATTTTCCAAAAATTTATAATATTCTTATTTTTCGTCTAAAAATTATTGTAAATATCTATTTTGCCTGAAAAATCTTCAGTAGTTACTAAAATATCGCAGTTTTCGTATTTCTGAAAATTACCGTTATATGGGAAGTGGGCGTGTTTACAGTCCGATTTTGCTCGATACCAACCTACCTTAGATAAATGGAAACCTACATACCAAATTTCGTTGAGATATATCAATTTCTGCTCGAGTTATCGTGTACACGGACGGACGGACAGACGGACAGACAGACATGGCTTAATCGACTTCTCTATTCATTCTGAGCATTTATGTTTACATTTGTCTATATCTATCTCGATTCGTTTTGGCTGTTACAAACAACCGTTATGTGAACAAAGTTAATATGCCCTTGTGCACAAGTGCGCTCGGGTATAAAAAACAATTGTTCGCAGAAATGGTATAGAATTCTTGAAAAACAATATTTTTCGATCGGAAATCTTAGTTTGTCTTCAGGAAACTTCCATTTATAATACCCAATTCTTTATTTAACCATTTTTCAATACTAACCATTTTTATGGGACCGCCTCCATTGCATTCCTTGCGTTTTATTGCGGATCTATAAAAAATAGTTACCCAAGAAACATTTAGATTAGAGAAATATTAGAAAACGATTCGAAATCTAATATGTTTCTATGAGGAAGGTAAGAAGAAGACTAGAGAAACTGTCAAGAATTATAGCGCTCTCTACATAAAGGACGTAGTTCTCAATATCGAGAAAGAGGTTAGGTATCTAATCGTATTTAGAATAATAGGTTTCCAATGTCTAATGTTTTTATAATCATCCTCTAATCGCATTATAACATGGTTCTTTAACTTGATTTTAGATTCGAGAACTACATTACAATTCTAATATGAAATCAAAACATTTCTATAACGTTAGAGGCTGTGTTTGCTGGGTTACTATTAAAAATTGGTAAAATAAAAAATTAGGTACTATTACTGGAAGTCTCTTGAAGAAAAACAGAGTTTTCCGATAGAAAAATATTGGTCTTCAAGAATTCTATACCATATCTATGAAAAATTGTTTTCGCCCATATAAAATACATGAAGAATGTTTAGTGCTTTGAGCGACCTTTAAATATTTCTCGATTTCAAAATAAAAAAGGGGTAAATTTTTGATTTGGTATAGAATAATCGTACGGGATGAGAGAAATAAAATCACGACTTTACTTTTTTTCCTACCCTAATGTACATGCAAATGTAACCTAAGTTCCGAACAAGAAATAAGTTTGTTTAATTTTTGTTGAATTTGGTAACTTTGGTAAGAAATACAAAAATATTGTGGAAACACTGGATGCGACATGCGGAGGTCAAAAAATCTTATGTTGAGTAAAGAATTTATGTAACTCTCCATACATATTATATGGTGATGGTAATTTTTAGAACAAAGGTCTGGAAGGTCTTGTAGATAATTTGTTTGTGCTCTGTTTCGCGTTTTAACTTACACCCTCACTTGGACCTCTCCTTAAAGCAAGTTCCACGTCATTTTATTAACCATAGAGTAGTGCCGTTCAGTTTTTTTTTGCAATTAATAGCCAACGCCACCAACAACGTCAGCCTGAAGTTCAAGCGAATGAATAACTCTTGCCAACAGATCCTACTCTGGACTCGGTAACGTGGACGATGTTAAACAAAGAAGAGAAAGCTTTTGAAGGCCGTTGAGAGAACCATTCCACGCAAGATCTACGACCCTGTTATGCGTGGACGACGGATTTGGGAGAAGATGGAATGACGAACTGTACGACATCCGAGGCTTTGCCTTGCTTCTTCACTGGAAGTGGTTTTTACGTGGCGGGTCCCAAGCCCAGCGCACAACCTATTGCTGGGACGGGGGTGGTTTCGCAACCAAATACACGTTTATATAGCGAGCCGCTTGCTCCAAGCAGACACCCGCTTGCAGCCGCACCTACTGGTGAACAGACAGCTCCAGCTCTGAAAGTATTCAACTCGGAACCCGCTGGCGGTAGCAGAGGAAGAGGGAGGCCCCCACTGCGATGGAAATACCAAGTGGAGGACTTGGCTTCACTTGGCATTTTCAATTGGCGTCAGTTGGCACAGAGGAGAAACGACTGGCGTGCTTTGCTGAACTCGGCCAAAATCGCTTAGGCGGTTACAGCGCCAAAAAAGAAGAAGAAGAAGAAGAAATATATATATATTTTTTTTTGTGAATAAGGTCGATATTGGTGTTTAGTGTAGGGCTGCCATATGGTCTCGTTTCCAGAGACATGTCCTCGTTTCGGACCCTTTGTCCCCGTGTCCCCGTTTAAAACCAAAATGGCCCCTTGTTAAATTGTAAAATAAACATTGGGTATTGTTATTGAAAGTCTCCTAAAGAGAGCCAGAGCTTTGCGATCGAAAAATATTGATTTTAAAGAATTCTATACCATTTCTACAATAAGTTATTTTTTCCCCACATAAAAATACATGGAAAACTTTGAGGGACATTTAAATATTTTTTAATTTCCAAATAAAAAAATTGGGGTATACTTTTTTTCGGTATAGAACAATCCTAGGGGGTGAGAGCATTACAATTCCGACGTTACTGTTTTTGGACCAAAATGCGTTATGTGTATAAATACGTTCTTTCAGTGAAAATGTTTTTTTGATCTCAATTTATTATGGTTTATGCATCTCCATTTTTGTATGTGTTACAACAGAGCATCAACTAAGTTTTCCTCTGCAATTGAACGAGACTATAAATGTAAAGATGATTTGAAAAAAGGAGAGTTTGACTATACCTTTGGAAAGAATGAAGATTTTTTTTCTGCTAAGGGTCCCCATTTGGGACCCAGCAAATATAGCAGCCCTAATTTGGTGTGTAATAACTTTTACATACAAACCCAATGCGGGAATGAATTATCTAAACGCGTAAATACCTCGTAAGCACATAAGCCTCGTGAACTCATTTAATTTTGCATGGACAACCGGTTTATTTACGACGCTTACGCGGTTACGAGGCATTTACGCGTTTAAATGATTGCCCATAATATAACTACAAATGCACAACAAATGTAGCATACTCGTAAGAACTTTGCTGATGTGCGCAAACTCACTTATCACAAATTAATTTACCTCTAATGTGGTATCCTCCGGTTGCACGGATACCTTGCGGACACCGGCCTCGCCATTCTCCTCGACCACTTTCTTATTTTCCACGCTGTCTTGATGGGAATATTTACGTTGTCTATAATACTGGTGGCGGCTAAAGTGAAAAAGTACAAGAAGCAGAAGAAGACAAATTAAAATAGGATAGTTTTAGTGTATAAAGGGACTGAAGATGCTTAAGTGCATATAAATCAGTGCTGCCCCTGTCACTTCGATTGAAGGTTTTCACTTCACTTCACTTTACTTTGTCTTACTTCACTTTCCACAAATTAGATTTAAAACCAAAATAAATACAAATTTCTTTGAAATAAATGATTTATTTTACCAAAATTGTTGATTTTGCTAAAATTCGTGTTAAGTATCTAGTAAATATGGCAGAGTTGCTTTTCGCATAAACTACTATTAAAAATACGCCTAATAAATATCCGACCTGGCTATCGGGTCTTTGGAAGAAGTCATTTAGATTTGCATTTTCACATGTATGTATGTAGGTACAGTTGTAAAGCGCACAGAAATGAATGGGTGGATAAAATTGCATAACTATTTAGTAAATATTTGACGAAAATAACAATAAAATTTTAGTTTTCTTGCATCTTCAATTTTACAGCAAAAGGAAACATTTAACTTAGGGTTTACACCGGACAATACTGTCTTGACAATAGCGATACATTCACACTTTTTCTCTAATACATGCATACATTTCCAATTATCTCAATCACTGTGTTGATTATTTCGAAGATAGTAAATCGGACAGTGATTTGACGTATGCAGAGAATAATTTTGACGTCTTGTGCAAGAGAAAAGATAAATTCATAACAAAAGAACTATAATAACAAAAGAGACGCTGATATACATGTAATTTTGTCACTTCTTTATTATTTTTTAGTTTTTAGCTTAAATAGTTCGCGCGCGAAATGCCTATTATAATACAGCGATCACGTCCGACATTTTGCTCTAAATTATTTGTCTTAACTAGTGTCAGGACGCCTACGCCACGGAGAAAATTAATTTCGTTTTTGGCAACTAATACGCGTTTCCTTATTGTCTTGACAGCATTGCCTAATGTAAACGAGTCGTAAGTGAATCTCGTGATGACGTTGTTGCTATGTATCTGGTGACGACATTGTTGCCGTGAATCGATAATCGATTAATTAAATTTTAGTGTTAATATCATCAGTGAACTGTAATTTTTGATTTTCTTTCCTCAAAGTTTGAGATATTGCTATTTTAAAGATATTCCAGCACTAAATTTGCACAGGAACACAATAAATTATAAATTAATAAAGGTTAAAGGTTATTTTTATTGTGATAAAAAAATAATCGATTAACCAATCAGGTGATAAATAACCTAATCGAAAAACACCGCACCCCTAATTGTGCTTGAAAGTCGTCACTTCGATAATCACTTCACTTTTCCTCCCAGGTCACTCCGAATCACTTCACTTTTAGTGTGTTTTCACTTCGCTCGAAAATTAGCAAACGACAGCACTGATATAAATACATACATATCGCCCAAGTTCTTCAAAAGTGACACAACTCAAAATTACACGTTCGTCAGAAATAGCGAAAAACTATATCCTAGCACATGCTAATCATATTGGCAAGGCAGACTTTACGTTAGGTTTTCTCAACAAATTATAACAAAAATTTGCTGCAGCTTTTGCTTAAAGGTAAATAAAAGCTCTGTGTACAATTTTAGTGCATTATTTAAAAAAATCCAAATTTTGAGTTGTGTCACTTTTGAAGATCGTGTGCGATATGTACACATATAAATGTACGTATGTAGAAAATTACCTTCTTCGACGTTTACGTTCATGTATATTGTCAGCGGGTTGTTCATCGTAGACTAAAGTGGGCGGAGAAACTACAGCCTTTTTTTTGCCAAAATGTACTTGCTTTTCTTCGGCGGAATTATCCTGTTGATAGATAGATGGTTTAAACTATTAGTACAAAAGAGAGCTTGTTGCTAAATAGCTTCTTACTAAAATAAAATAAAATAATATGTATGTGCTAGTATAGAGATATAAGGGAAAATATTGCATCAACCTTAAATTGAAGTAACTAGAGTTCGGTACCACCT